CCCCAAAACCCCAAAACCCCAAAACCCCAAAACCCCTAAGAACAAATACTGAGGTGATTAATTAAATAAGTTATTCCTAGTACCATAATGGCTTCTCCAGGAAAGTACAACCAATACCTTCAGGTGGCGAAAACGTTTGAGGAGACGTATTTTGGAGGAAAAGTTCAGAGTTTTTGAGACTTTTTGAACGAAATAGGGCTTGTTGCTTCGAAAAGTGATGAGTTTGTTATAAAACGGCGGGCGAAGATGGCGGCTGAGGATGTGAATGGTGAGAAATCTACTTTAGCGGAATTTGGGCTTTGTGTTTATTATCTAATTTTGAATTAATTCCACATATAGATGAGCTACAGGTAGAGGCTGTATTTGGAGAAAGTATGAAAGAGATCCTGACAGGGTTCTTTGAGGATAGGTCAGTGGAACTGGCAAAAAGCTTGGTGGAGAATTGGCCCAAATATCAAGAGGCACAGATTGAGAAGGAGGAGGAGTTTGAGAGAATTAGAAGAGCTGATAAGTTAAGAGGAGTACTCTGTTTGGCCAAAGCCAAACAGGATATTCTTGCAAGTCAATATCTTATCAAGTGGAAGGAAGAATCTCTCAATGCTAAAATCGCAACCTTAAAATATAAAATCGACGAGAAAGACCACAAAATTGAGAGGCTTCATCATGATAATATCCAGACTCAGGATGAGCTTCGCGAGTCCATGGAAGAAGCTCACCAGTATAGACTTAGGCTCGAAGAACTCTTTGAAGACAAGATGAGGAAAAAGCAAGCTACTACTAGACGAAAGAAGATGAAACAAATGAGAGAAGTTTCTAGATCCCTTGCTGTAGAAAAGGCTAACGGGGTAACTGTTACAAGCTCTGTCTGCACCGAAGATCCTTACATGGTAGCTGATGAGAAGAAAGGTAGAGAGCTAGACAGCACACATGAAACAAGACTTCAGAAGCGCAAAGCTTTCCCTCAAACAGAAAGAGGCTCAGTAGACACTGTTAGGATCTTGAGAAGGAAAAAGCTCCAGATGTCTAAAGCTAGTAACTCCTTGTGAGCATCATCAGTTTACTCAAAGAATTTCAACTCAAACCTTTCGTTCCACCCAGAGATCAATAGAGATGATAAATGGATTCCAAAATATGACGACCACCATAATCACAAGAGGATGCTCGAAAGAATGCATAACGAGAGTAGAAAAATTGAAAGAAAGAAGAGAATCATGTCAAGCGAAAAACAGCAAAGAGAGCTCTCCGAGTGTAGCTTCACTCCTAAAATCAATGCTAAGGATAGGAGAACTGCTGCTCAGAGAAAGAAGCTCAAAAATGAAGATGCTTCAAACTTGACTAAAAGAATGTACGAGTACGCACAGAAGCATAAGACAAACCTTGAGAAGAAGAAAGAAAGTATAGATCAGGAAAGAGGGCAGGAGATCAACTTTAGACCAAAGATAGTTGAGACTAAGACCCTGAAAATAAAACGTGACAAAGGGGAGGTCTATGATGACCTGTACAAAGATTTCTCTACCAGAGAGGACAAAAAGAAGGAGAAAAGGTAAGCCATTAATGATAAGCTTCTAGAAAATAAAAATAATCAGAAGAATTACACCAGTGTTGTTACGAAGATTCATATCTCAGGTAAATAGTCATTCTTCAAAAACCAACGTATCACTTATTTTCTGTTAGTAATAATATAATTTAGATCTGGAAAAACAAGGATCTAATAAGAAGAATTCGTATGTGAATCAAGTGAGGAAGAGAAGCCAGAAATCTAAGACTAAGCAAAAGCCTAACCCAATCTACCCTGCTATATCAAGGAGTTCATTTAGTTCAAAGCTTTACTCGAGTCCTTTCTCTTCTGCGAGGAAGGAAAGAGCAGAACCTCAGTCTGAGTCTAAAGAAGCTGCTAAATAAATTTTGAATCTCAATTTAAAGCTAGATAAAGGGGTTTTGGGGTTTTGGGGTTTTGGGGTTTTGGGG